TACCCAACACAACAGAGTAGGCAGGGAGGTCATGAAAAAAAGAAACACAGAAACACAGCACAGAGGCCGAAGGCAATAAAAAGGACATACATGAAGGAGTACAGCATACAGCAGAGAGGGAAACAGGGGGCAACGGCATCAGCCGGGTACATAGTTCGCCACAAGTGCTGCCTCGGTCGCCCTACTCGCTTCTACAGCAGTGCCCGGTCGCCGTTTCTCCCCCCCCACCGCCGCTTCCCCGGCTCTCTTTCTCTTCGGTCCTGAGATGGCCGTACTCTCTGCTTCTGCTTCCCTCGCGCGCTGGCGCTTCGGGGACGCTTTCGCCTACTGCTTGCGCCATTTCCTCATGAACCATGCCGCCCCGTCCTCGACCTTGTTGTACCACACCTCCGGGTCCTTGGCGCTCTCTTTCCATTTACCCCCTTCCTTTTCGTCTCCCATGTTGAAGGCCACGAGGTCCTCTCCTAGACGAGACACCCAGTCGCTCTCCTGCCCGCTCCGGTATCCCACGCCCCCCGCCATCGCTCCTAACAGCATGCGCTTGGGGAGGCGGCTGTCCTCCATGCGCATAACAAAGCCCGCGAAACACAGTTTCCGATTGCTCACGGTGGCCTCAATGGTTTCCTCGCAGCCTGCCTGGATGAGGGCCTGGGCATAGGACAGGGGGCGGTCTGAGCGTTTCCGCTTGCTCCAGCCGATGCACCGTGTAAGGAACTGGCGGTGGGTCCCATTGAGCTTCGTGTAGTGCTCCGCTGTTAGGCTCCACGAGGCGCACCCATACAGGAGAGTCTCCACCACTTCAGCCTGGAGAAGCCGGATCTTGAGCTGGCGGTTGGCCCGTCGCCTGTCGTAAATCGAAGCACTGTTCCGGCGGTAGCACTTCCACGCTCGGCAGCTGCGGCTCGTGATCTCCCGGTCGGCCTTCCCGTCCGCGGAGATGGTACGTCCGAGGTACACAAACCGATCTGTCTGCTTGTACGTCTGGCCGGCGGCGCTGACCGTGAACGGGCGTTCCTCGATCCCTTTCGGCAGCATGCACATGATCTCCGGTTTAGGCTCCGACACCATCAGTCCGAACAGGCCGGCCACGCGCACGATGACCGACATCATCTTCTCGAGACTCTCCGGCGAGCGCGAGACGATGGCCGCTTCGTCAGCGTAGAGCATGGCCCACAAGGCCTCCGCGTCCGTCACCACCGTCGTCTTCTTCCCCGCCGACCTGCCCTTCTTGCCCGTGTACTCCACTTGTGTCCCGATCTTGACCATGTCCGCCGTCACCTTGGGGTCCTTGTCGAACTCGGCCACGGCGACCATGAGCATCGCGGCAAAGAACAAGTTGAACAGCAGCGGGGCCAGGTTGCATCCCTGCCGGAGGCCTTGGCCCACGTCGAACCATTCCGAGTACTGCCCGTCGTCCGTATATATGTACCTGCCTGAAGAAGTAGCCAGATCTCAGTTCCAGGCGTCGGTTACGAGATTCGCAACACCATCATCTATGTCTCCGTCACTCCGGTTGGAGTCGACGCTCTTCTCGTTCACCCCGTCAGGTTTCCCATCGCTGGAGTCAGATTCGCTCGAATCCAACTTGATCAAATCGTCGAGTGCACCGACCGAACCGTCGCCGTTCTCGTCCGACTCGGGGTCCTCTAACTCTGCGCTCATAGATTCCGCGGCATCGCCGGTGGAAACGTCCTTGCTCGCAGGCGACTCGGGGGTCCCCGCCTCTACGTCGGTTTGGNGACCGAACCGTCGCCGTTCTCGTCCGACTCGGGGTCCTCTAACTCTGCGCTCATAGATTCCGCGGCATCGCCGGTGGAAACGTCCTTGCTCGCAGGCGACTCGGGGGTCCCCGCCTCTACGTCGGTTTGGTCCGCTCCATGCGATTCCTGCTGCCTCATAGAGGCAGCAAAGAGTGCCATGGCATTGGCAACACTGTAGGATGGCCGTGGTCGACTCTCGATGGGTGGTTGGGGTCGGGAGATACCCTCTACCCGCCTAGGGTGAGAAGCACCCACCGTAGGCCGTAACGCAGACATCCCCCCTGCACGCACGGGTGCCGGCGCCGCCCGCCGTAGGGTGCAACATTTTCTGCAGCCGCAAGCAAGCGAGCACTTCTTGTTCTTGCACCTGCACCTGTTGCACAGGGCCGTGTCCGGATTGCCACCACACGCAAGCGTGACTGTCTTTCGGTCAGGGGCGATGTAAGCATACTCGGACAGGTCAAGCACGCATTTCTCCCTTGTGAGTTCGTCGCCGTCGCTCTCCTTTCCTCGTGGGTTGACGTGCCATCCTTTGTCGGCAAACTCTGTCGCCGGCATGGTCTCCCTCAAGCCATTCTGCCAGTACCGGAAGATGGCGATACCGAGTTCTGCCTGCTTGCGCAAGGAAAAAAAAGATGGACAGGTGGCTGTCGTCTTCTTCTTGGGGAGTTGGAGGATGGCGTAGCGGATCACGTCCACGTAGCCCTCGACGTTGCCGTCAACGCTTTCGACCAGCTGGGCTAGGGTCAAATGAGCAGTGCCAAACGCCGCTTCATCCTTGTAGAAGAACATGGTCGCCAAAAGCTTTGCGCATTCGTCGACATGCACGGGTGCCATCCTGCTCCTCCCAGAACAGCAGCTTGTCAAACAAACCCTCCGTCCGCACGCTCTTGAGGGGCAGTACCCACATCTTGTCGAACGGCAGCCCGGAAATTGCCGGGAGGTAGTCACAGCCCGACTCCAGGAACGTTAGGATGAACAGACGGACCTTGTCGTTGTCCGTGGGAATCCAGCCCCCGAANAAACAATCCCTCCGTCCGCACGCTCTTGAGGGCCAGTACCCACATCTTGTCGAACGGCAGCCCGGAAATTGCCGGGAGGTAGTCACAGCCCGACTCCAGGAACGTTAGGATGAACAGACGGACCTTGTCGTTGTCCGTGGGAATCCAGCCCCCGAAGGTCAATAGCGGCCACGCGAACTCGTTTCCGTCCTGGAGTTTGCAGATGCTGGCGAATACTCTGTTCATCCACAGGAACTTGGTCTCGCCACCCACGACCTTCTGGACGGTCACGTCAACCGCCCCCTCGCCACGAGGCCGAAGCCAACCAGTGGTCATCGCCAGTAGAATGATCATCCATAAGTCCGAGTCTACCGCACCGATGAAGCGATCCACTTGTCGGAGCTTTTTTCCCCCAGTACTTCTTCGCCCAAATGATGAAGTGTATCACGGAGAGCTCCGCCGCGCCGATGTCTGGCCCTCGCTGCCGCTCGACACCAGGGGCAGGGTCGTTTCCGTTTCGAAAGTGAAGGAGTGGTCCGGTTCCGGAAAGCGCCTCCGTGGCACCTACCCCTCCCATCTCAAGGCCCACGCCCTCCGCATGTACACCAGCTAGATGATCAGCACTCAGACCAGGCTCACCTCCGACGCCATTGAATGCGACGATTCCGTTCGGCTTGGTGTAGCCGGTCCAGACTTCATCAGCTAGCACGCGCATGGCGAGGTAGGCGGCGATTCCGTCCCGCGCCGCCTTGCCATCGGCTCGAAGCCATGGTCCATATTGTAACGAAGGAACAGGGTCCGTTGACTTCGGGTCGAAGGTCCGAGAGCACACACCAAGTTTCTCGGTCCTCCCAAGCTGCTCTTGTCCTTTGATTACCGGCACCAGATCCTGTCGGTCGTAGCACACCAGGAGTGGCTCGGTTGACTGCAGCCACTTCGACAACAGCTGCCTCTTGAAGTAGTCGATTATTCCCGCAGTTCCCTTCTCGAGATATTCCGGGCGCATCCCTTGGTGGATTGAAACAGGAAGATCCACGCCACGAGCATCGGCGTCGTAAGACGGGTCCTCTGCGAACCCGTCGGCACAATGCTCTCTGACCCATTTCCCTGGACCTGCCGCCTTGGTGGCGTGCTTGGCTCCTGATACGTTTGGGAACAGATTTCCAACAGGGGTGATTGGGGATGGGGGTGGGGGTGAACACAATGTGAAGTGGTATGCATTATGATAATAACACTCAGAAACACGGGTGTGGAGAGTGGATGAGCTTCGGCTGGGAACGAAAGCACGAGATGACAACCTGTATTGCGGACGCTCTCTTCCTCACCTCCCGTCGCGTTGGCCATGCTGTACGGCGTGGCCGCTCCTATGGACGCCACCATGTCCAGCATCTGGTCTTGCGTCACCACACCCCCACCTTCTCTGACCGCATCGAACATGTTCAGCGTGAGGGCCTTCCACTCTTGCCCCCCAGCGTAGGCACTACCGACGGAATCCTTGAGTGCAGACGACCTCCCTTGACTCTTCGTGGCCGTTGTTGATGCTGTTCCTAGCCGGGATGGAGAAAACCTTCTTCTCGGTCGCGCCGTTGAGTTTCGCGCCGTTGAGGCTTTTCTTCTTGAAGACGTAGTACAGGACACACTCGCGCATTTTCGCACGAGCCTTAGCGGGCGAGTCGAGAATCTCTTGCCACTTGACCGGCGGAAACACTTTCCCGTCCAACGCCGCGACCTTGTCTTTGCCATCGTCGCCATCANGCGCCGTTGAGTTTTTTCTTCTTGAAGACGTAGTACAGGACACACTCGCGCATTTTCGCACGAGCCTTAGCGGGCGAGTCGAGAATCTCTTGCCACTTGACCGGCGGAAACACTTTCCCGTCCAACGCCGCGACCTTGTCTTTGCCATCGTCGCCATCAAATGCCGGGCTCTCTCTCAAGCAGTCCATCGCCGCCCTGACTGCTGGTTCACGTTTCACCGCCAACTCTTTGCAACAGTCCCTTTCCGTGCGTGGTTTCTCGATGAAATGCGATTCGAAGTCGAAGATGGCGACNGCTCTCTCTCAAGCAGTCCATCGCCGCCCTGACTGCTGGTGCACGTTTCACCGCCAACTCTCTGCAACGGTCCCTTTCCGTGCGTGGTTTCTCGATGAAATGCGATTCGAAGTCGAAGATGGCGACTTCACGCAGCTGGGCAATCGGTGCCAGCTTTTCTATCGTGCTCGAAAGGATCCTTTCGTCAATGCCTTGTAGAGACGATTGGACCCCTCCTGCCGCTCGTCCAAGCCGATTCGTGCAAACATGTCAGGGCCGAGTGAGACGAAGAATAGGTCGGATACGACCCTCATATCATTGCGCGAATAACGCGACACCTCCGTCAGATGACCCACCACGAGGAACTGGTACTTGTCTTCGCCGGCGATGAAAAAAATGGGGGCAATACGGCGAAGGCCTTCAAGCCTTAGGCTGAAGTTCCCCGTACGCAGGGCAGTGTGGAAGGCGATGTACGCAGGGTAGTCGTGAAGGAGGAACTGTTCCCACACAGCGAAAGTCTTGTGAGACTCCGCCCGTGCCACTATCCACCGAACCACCCCGTCGACCACTTTGTCCTCTTCCACCGGTCTGTCACCTGGCGTCGGCAAACTCTTCAAGTATTCCTGTAGACACAGAGTCATAAGCGCCGCCCAAAACGCCGTTATGTGGTGGTGGGCCCGACGGTAGTTGCTCCCCTCCCCCGACTTCGACCCGACTGTGCTCTCAAGATTGGGTGGGCCACCACCCGCGATACCAACAGAGGGCCTCTTCCTGCGCTTCCTCTCCGACCGGGCGTTTTCCTCCCGTCCGACGGACCCTTGCACCGGAAGCTCTCGCGTCGCGTTTTGTCGCGGCGGGGGGGGTGCGCACCTCAGTGGGTAGGTTGCCCTCTCGCCTGCTCCCGGTCCGTGGAAGTTAATTTGTTACGTCTCCCCCTGAGTTATCGACCACTGGAGTACGAGGGGTTAGCGTGCCTTCCGTAAGCTGACGAAGGTCCCATGCTGGCTGCATACCCCCGCTTCCGGGTGTAACAGAGCTCCCAGGCTGGTTCCGAGGCGTAGCCGGTGGCGTAGCCGGTGGCGTAGCCGGTGGCGTAGCCGGTTGACCTGTGGGGTTGTAAGCCCCACCAGCCCGGTTGCCCCGCCTACCTCTCCGACGGGTCATCTGTCAGCACGACCTGTGCCGGCCGTTATCCCATGTATTAAATACCTGGCCATGGAATACGACCAAATATTACAAATGTCACGTGATACGTACAGCCTGCGCAGGCGCACACCTATGCTACGTCTGTGGGCGCGCTTCGTTGTCTCTTCACAGCCATGCATAACATATGATCCTCTGTATAGGCATGCTAGTGTACCTTAGCGCATGACGGACTGAAAGCTGTCGATCTACATACTATATACCGTAAGAATCGGGGTCTTCGCACACTGTGCGATCACCTTTTTAAATGTCTTCGTTCTTCGCACAGGGGTGCGGAGACGCCGATATGTGCGGTATTGAATAAAATTGAAGGGGGTTAAGGTGGGGTGCTTTGAACGCACACCCTGCGCGAAGACTCCGACATGTGCGCTCCAAATGAAATCACAGCGGACATTGCAGTACTCCACATGAAAGGTAGTCCTGCATGATCCGTCAAAACACAGGAAGAAAACACGCACACACACACACACATACCCGGGAAAAAAAAAAAAGAGACGCGGCGAAACAAGAAAAACACGGCGAAATACCTAGGCGACGGTTTCCTTTTTTTTCGATTCCCCCGCACCCAAGGGTTGTGTCCCGTTTGTACCTTGTACACACGCAATACGTTAGCTACGATGTCGGAGGAAGCGAGCGCGGGCTCTGCCTCCGCGTCACAGGCCTCACAGGCCTCACTGGCCTCAAAGGCCTCACAGGCCAGTGCTGGTGGTTCTTCCTCGGTAGACCAGGGACCTGCCGCTACCGANTCACAGGCCTCACAGGCCTCAAAGGCCTCACAGGCCAGTGCTGGTGGTTCTTCCTCGGTAGACCAGGGACCTGCCGCTACCGACCCGAAGGCTTCAGGAGAGGCTATCGACGAGATGCTGGCCGCAAATGACCCCGACAGCAAGAAGCGCAAGTACCCAGAGCCCGGCTTCCCAACTGAAAGGTCAGGAGCAGTCGGAAAGAAAGGTAGCTACCCGGTCGGGTTCAAACTCAAAGCGGTCGCATTCACACGCGTCGTCTACGAGGACGGAAAACCGGTGGGAAACAGCGGTGCAGCGAAAGTTCTCGACGTGCCCGCAGGCGTATCGTCGAGTGGGTGCGCGACGAGGAATCGCTCAGAGCCAACGTCAGCGACAACCCCAAGCTGTCTAAGGCCAAGTAAATTCACGCTGGAGGCAAAGCTTCGACAGCCGACATCGAAGAAGCCCTGGTGGAATTCATCAACGATCAGCGCAAGCATCACGTCGGCTGTGGTAGCATGGCGGTCATGAACAAGCTGCTTGAGTTGAAGCCGGATGCCCTTGGCGGGCTGACAGCCAAGCCGAAGCCGGAGGAGGCGTTGGCTTTCAAGTCCAAATTCAAGAGCTGGTACCAACGTTTCCGAAAAAGGAACAAGTTCAGCATCCGCCGGCGTACAAGCGTGGGCCAAAAGCTACCGAAGGGACACGAGGGCATGGCGTGGGCGACGTTGATGAAGCTGCGTAAGGCTCTCCTGGAGCGTGCTGGCGAGATCTACGCTCAGCGCTACCCGCCTGCACCTGGCGAGAGCCCCATCAGAGGGGAGGACCTGAGTTCATCGCAGCTGGAGTTGGTGACCGACGAATTGTTCGAAGAACTGGGCAACATGGACCAGACGCCAGTCCAGCACGAGATGCCGGTGGAGACGACTCTGGAAAAGGCCGGTGCGAAGGATGCCCGCATCGCCACCGGAGGTGAGAGTATGACTGCTGTGTTCAGTGTTTTCCTAACTTTTGCCATGAAGTGTCGCGCGTATTTGCGGTCGGCCGGATATTTGTTCTGGTCGTGATATTATTTACATGTTCTTGGAAACGTAATTCTACCATTTGCATCCATTTCAGCCGGCGTCTGTTGCATTCGCACAATTTTGAAACCTCTCCCCTACCCCCCAACATCGTGTATCCCCCCCCCCCCACCAGGAAAAGAGAAGGAACGCTTCACGCTCTGCCTGGCTGCCTCGGCGGATGGCAAGGTCCCGCCTCGCATCATCTTCAAGGGTACGCCTTTCGTTCCGCCTGCCACGCCCGGGAAGGGAAAGGCGACTCAGCCGCGGAAGAACTCTATCGCGTGGGAGGTACTTCCCGCGAACCGCTCCAAGCACGGGCTCCCCGTGGGAGGCATGTCCTTCGGGGGTGCAGGAGAAGAGCTGGTGTGACCTGCGGGAGTGCAAGCTCTGGATCAAGGACAGCTGGAAGCTCCGTCCCAACAACGGCAGCATCGTCCGGCAGCGCCGATGCATCTTGGTGCTGGACGACTTCAAGTGCCACAAAGACGATGGCTTCATCGCGGCCCTCAACAAGGAAGCCAACACCATCGTCATCTTCATCCCAGGCGGGTTGACCCCTCTCCTCCAACCGCTGGATCGCATGCTCAACAAGCAGATGAAGCGGCTGCTGCGGGGCATGTACACGGCAAACACGGCAAAGGCGGCCAGGGACCCCAAGACGGGCAATCTGGCACCGCCGGGGCGTGGGGCCGTCGCTACTTGGTGCAAGAACGCGTGGGCATCCATCACCCCCGAGACAGTCAAGACTTGCTTCAAGATCTGCGGCCTCACGCTCGCGCTCGACGGCAGCGAAGACCACGCCTGGTGCCTGCACAACTTCGGGGACGGATACCGCGAGCTCCTGGAGCAGCAGCGCGTCGAATGGCTTGCGGAACACCCCAACGTGACTCTGCCGACGCTCCAACTTCCGAAGGTACCAGCCGAATCAACCGCCAATCACATCGAGGCTGCAGCAAAGGAGCTCGAGGCGGGGCTTTTGCCTTGCGGCGACGACAGCGACATCGAGATTGAGGATGACGACAGCGATGTAGAAGTCGTGGAAGGGGCGGGGGATAAAGCAGTGATTGAGCTGTAAAATACCGCCGTCACGTGGGAGTACCAGTACAGTAGAGGTTTGGTTCGCAACATGTTGGTAGGAGACTGGCGCTAGAACTCTGTGATGCAGAGGACAGCGGCTTCTAGAGAGGGGTTTTTGTTTGGTGCTACATACGAACGTGGAACAATACTTGCAACGCGGTCCACGAGCATGTGCCAGTAAAGATTTCCAGAATACTTTTGTGGAGATCGCTACTTTCTGCCGGTTTTTCGCACGAGTCCTAGGTGGTGGTTTGTTGCGGTGGTTTCGATGAAAAAACAAAAAAAAATGATCACACGCTGAAAAACAAATATATTTTCAAGTCCGGCGGGTACCGTATTACAAAAAACGTTATTGCGCAGAGGTACATGAGCACCGCACGGCGCCGAAGTTGATTTTTCATCAATTACGCCCCTACTTGTTTAGCGCACAATAAGACTGGACACCGCTCTTGGAAGCGCCCAACCTCATTGCTGGGATCGGGGTCTCCACACAGTGTGCGTAAACCCCGATCCCTGTGCGATAATCGAATTAAATCATGTGGAACCCGGTTTTTGTTCCGCGCCTCTGTGCCATGGCCCCGACCCGTGCGGAGACGCCGATCCGTGCGAAGACCCCGATTCTTACGGGATGCCCGGCTCGACATTCCTGCCGCGTTTCAATCTATAATACTGGTGTATGTGCACGGTCTGGCGTGTACGTAGCTGAGCGCCCCGGGTCATGTTTGACTCGTACCATGGTAAAGCACCGAGTCTAATTTTCACTTCAAGATAGAAGTACTTGCCCTCTCGAAGCCCAGATGTCCTATAAATTGTTGAGGCGGCCGGACTGTATCGGGCATTTCCATAGTATCTTTGGATGGAGGTCGTGTATCCAGTGGATGTACATGCGCAACATGCAAGAGCGTGCGTTCGAACCCCACGGCGTGGGCTCTCCTGAAATTTGAATTTTGAACACACCATGCTTATTTTCTACCGCACTAAATCGCCTCAAACCTTTTGCATTAGGTGGGAATGAGACCTAGATATATTTCGGTAGCATAATTAGGCTGCAAGACGCCAACCTTGCGCAGAGGTCGGCTCGCGTGTGAAGCTTCCTAGCGGATTTTGGAGCTGCCGCAGTGTGGTACGCTCTAGCTAACGTCTAAATTTCTCACCCCACCATGTGTATCTGGGCGTATCAAACATACCCTGTTGTGCCCTTGCATCTTTTTAACATACCTCTCGTGTTGTCTGGGAAGTTTAGCCTCTGGTTCGCCCTCTAGAGCCGGTGCTGGGTGTGGAGGTCTGTTGCGCCGCGAGCCGCCTGATCAGAGGGGTTTCCGCAGGGGGCTGCTTTCCCGTTGGAGGCTTTTTTTCTCACACTTTTTTTTTTTCAGGCGTGCAGCACTGCACTAATTTTGTGGCGGGGTGGCGGTGTAAAACCATTGGCCGTGCCCCCCCCCGGACAAGGATCGTCGCAGCATGTGTAACGGCGGTTAATTCATCCTTACGCAGCAGACGGCCAGACCTTAGCAAAAGCAGAGGGGGCGCAGCAACAGAAGCAGGTAGGTCCAGTTATACTTTTCGAGCGGCTGCTCCCGGTCAGAGGGGCGTTTCGCTTCTCGTCCTGCTTGTGCGAGATGCGGAGTAATTTTTAGAAGGTTTCGAAAGAGGATACAGCAGCAGGGTTGGTCTATACTCCTTGGCGATGATCTAGAACGCAAGCAGACCATGCGTATCACCTAGGTTAGGGCCTTACCCTTTTCGCACTCGAGTCTCATCTGTTTGTCGCTGGCCGGCAACTGCAACAAATGTTCGTGTTGATTTCCACCGCCGTGTTCTGCGAATCATGTTCGTGTCCTGTGGTACGCATATTTGTATCCGTGTGATGTTCATCGGTTCCGCCCAACTGTGGTGGTATACACGCGTGATGCCTATAACACAACTCTGTCGTCACCAGCGATTGTGAGGCGACGGATGCCGTACTGAGAGCTGATGAGCTCCGGCATGAAAATCGTTGCCAGATAACCCGGACTTGTTCTCCGTGTTTCAGAATTGGTCAGTTCTCGTACACGGACTGGGAATCGCTTTCTCGGGAAAATGTCGTCGTGCAGATAACCCGATGCCCGACCAACGGGAGGTTGAGGGATCCACCCTTCCTTCCAATGATCAGAATGTTCCGCCCTCTGCGAGCAAACGACTTCATTTGCAGGCTTTGGTCGGTGCTCTGCGTCGAGGAATGTTTGGGGATTTGTATGCTAACAGCAGCGGTAGTTCATGTTTCGTGGCCCTGTCTTCATTGCTGCAGAAGCATCGTCGGAGAATAGAGCGCTTTAAATCCGTGCTCAAGCTTGGCTCAAGTGGAGCGTATCCTACAAGCAGCTAAATCCACCATCGGCATTGGATTCCCGACTGCTGAGCACACACATCGGTATCTGTCCTTGAGCGGCCGTGGTCCAACCCAATGAACCTTCAAGCAGCGACTCATCTCATACGTGCGGTGCTGCTATAAATATGAACCCAGCTCGAGTTGTCCGAACGCAGGAGGATGCTGAAACCGTGACCATGGGATCGTATTCCAGTACAGTATAGCGGCTACGGTTTAACGCAAGATGTTGAACAGAAGGTCCGGGTTTAGCAGAGGTGAACTGGCTTGGCACGGCCAAAATCGGTGTAACAGAAAGTTTGTCATGTTTCTGAGATTTTATGTTGAATCGAGCTTCTGGGGGCCGCGCCACGTAGGAGTGGTTCGTCCAGTGGTTGATTGGGTGGATTTTCTTGGATGCTGTAGCATCCGTGGGCTCGTGTTGTATTTCCACAAGAGCTGCAAGATCTATAACAAGGCAACAAAACTACAGAGGTCTGACGCGTGATTTGTTTCCCAACACTTTCTACTAAGAGCGTGATTAAGTTCCCACCACCCTCTACCAAGCGCGTAAAACTGGTCCATATTGCTCGCCAACCAACTGATGAAGCGGTGTGTGGAGCTAGCCCAAGGGGCGAACGCTACCTGCGTTGTGTGACATGAATGATACGCGTTCCATCAACTTTTACGGCACATACTGCTGTCGTTGGGACGACTGGGTCCATGTTTGACGGCTTTTCGTTTTGGCTATGTTAAAACATAATATTACGTTGAAACTGCATTTCACTCTCTAGTCTACACATATGGTAATATTTTTTTTATGTTATACCGTAGCCAAAACGGTTTAACAGAAGTGCCAATGTAACAGAGGGATTTTGGCTTGTCACGACCCTATGTTAAAGCGTAGCCGCTACCGTAGTGTATGCAGGTTTTCATGAACATACTACGGTATCGGACAACGTATGGAATCGGTGGGTTATTGTTGGGGTTACGGTAGCAGCCCAGTTTTTCAGGGCATGATAATGATTTCGCCTGCTCGGAGAAACTCCCCAATATGAACGTTCTCATTTGTATTTTCTCCAGAAATAGCTTGTACAGTAGTCCAATCTAGTTCGTTCGTTCTTGTTTCACCGTCTTCGAGAACGATCAACTCTATGTTTTTTCATTCCACCTGGGGCCTCCCTGTTTCCTGATTGTCTGCATCTATGTCATTCGGTCGTTCTCCGGGTTCGATCGCCTCCCGGTCCGCCGGTCGTGGTTTGCTATCACGGTTGTTTGAGGATTTTCTGAGTCCATTTTGATGGTCCGTTTGACTCCTAGAAGCGTTGTGTTACCCTTTCTATTGGGCAGTTGGCCTGTGACCACGGAAGTCGCCCGAGTCAGGTGGACCAGTACAGATATTAGAAGGTGCTGAGAAGGGACCGGGACAAATTTTCATGTGAAGGCAACAACAACAACAACAACAACCGCAGCAACAACAACCCTATCTCCGTGTTGCTGAATACACAATGTCGATTTTCCATGCGACCGGGCAGCTATCCTATTGAGGTGGTGGCGCTAGATGTAGCTGCCTGTGCGTCCGCCGATCACCGCCCCCCCCCTCCCCCCCCTTTTGCTCCGTCCCGTGTGTTGCCTGCAGCTCCCATTATTTAAAGGACTAGTCTACTGTAACGATGGACGCAGCGGCAGCAAAGAGCTTCAAGCTGGATGCCAGCGCTGGCGGGTGTTCTGGCATGTTCTGGAGGTACAATCAAAGAGAACATGCGCTCGAACTGGCTTGCCTGGCGAGGCCGACCTGTCTCTCTATCGAAAATAGTAGCACAGCAATCCTGGGACAATTTTTGGCCCCTGCTTGTTCCGGCAGTAGAAGATATTGGGGAGCTCTCCTCAACATGCACCGTGCCCAACGAAGTACAATGTCGGGCATAGGCGTATCACTCGTTAATATTGCTCGCACAAGCACGTGGTCCACGCAGGGAGATGTTCAACTACTGGATGCTGTCACCAAGTTTGTCTATGAGCAGATTCGCTCCGGTTGAAATTTCGTTCTTGTTGGCAAAAGATGGAGTGGAGGTGATGCTCTTCGGTACCAGCAGACAGCGTCGAGGAGACCCGAGGTCGAATTGCTGAAGGCGGAGCCGACGGAGGTTCTGCCGTACAGACACATGGACTCCGCACCTCGGCCACTACCAGCTGCTGAGGAGGATACATGTTACCGCCGCGTGGTTATGCTAACAGCTCTCGTACGCTCGGACTCTATCCAATGTTGGGTGCCGAAGTCTTGAAGCCGCTGTCCGACTTAGGAAACTGCAGTTCGCAGGAGCTTTCACCAAACAACTAGACGGACGGTGGCGAGTGATGTTTGGGAATCTCGTGGGGCGGGCAAGGGTGCCCAGAGTAGAGCAGGCCGAAATCGTCTGAAGGACGATGTATCAGGAACTACTGACGGATCCGCGGAAGAATATTCGGCGAAAATTCCGAGTCCCTGGCACCATCTGAACTCTCTTGGCAAGCGGGGCGCCGTGGTACGAGGTGCTTCTGGGAGCGAAGAGGCCACCATTCGCTACTACTGTTTGCGTCTAAATGGGACAGTCAAGGCCTCAACAATACAACGACCCCACCCTACACGGGCGAAAGGGGACCAAGCGTAGAAAGTTTTGTCATCAGAGGACACCTAGAAAGACACCACGGCGACCGAGAAGAGGAGCACGGAGATGCCAGAGCGTGCAGAAACACATGTGTGTGCAGACGGAACGTAATGGAGGTGGTAGGAGTTCGCCACTGTATCCTTTTGTCATTTGTTTTTGTGCATCATTTTTCTTGCAATCCACCCCCCGCCCGCCTTGTTCTTGCAGAACAAAGCCGGAGATGGGCTCTACTACGTCGAGCCCCGACTGGCCGCGCAACGGCACCATGCTCAAGGGCTGGTAAGTTCTATCTTTCACTGTGGTGTTTGTGTCCCTTTTTCTCTTCCTGCCGAGCTACACTGTCGAGAGCAAACCATTCACAACAACAGTGATAATCCGCTCTCTCTTGCACGCTGCTGTTCCAACCCCGCTACTTTTGACTCCTTGCTTTCGTCGCATCGCAGGTACGTCGCAGAGCACCCCGGGTAGGTGAAGATCGACCACCCGGAAGGCTACTGGATGCCTGTGGAGCAGCGCGGGAAGGTCGTGATGCACGAGGTGGACTCGTAAGCCGTCAAACTGCTACGCCATTTGGCCCGACGGAATATGATATAATAGTGGTGGTTTGTGTAGAAGGCCGCCTGAATATGGCGGGTCGACCAGGTGCAGGGCTGGTGAAATTGCGTGACACCGACTGAATATTCAAGTTGTCTCATGCCGAGTGCCCAGCGTAAGGCCGGCCGAATTCCTTGGCACTACCGTGTCGCCTCATACAGGACCACTACTGCAGCGTCAGCTGCATGCATGTGAGCGTTGTACACGCTGAAGTAGTCTTTTCAACCTAGTCTTCGTCAATGTCGGATTCTTCGACGCGGTGAGAAGCGCTCGATTTCGTACCAATGTTAATGATCCCATAGTGGTCATATGACCTCCACCCGAACAAAGGCTCGCCATTGGCGCAGTGTGCACCTACCGAACGTGAAAGGCTTCCATGGTAGATGAGGCCGTCGGTCACTGAAAGAAGACCGGCACACGCACGGATCGATTTTTAGCGCGTGTACGATCGTATCCATAGTGGTATTGGTTGTAGCTGTTGTTGCTGTTGTGGCTGCTGTATTGTTGATGATGATGATGTTATCGTCGTTGTTGTTGCGGTCGTCGCCGGTGTTGTTATTTTGTGTCGCTGTCTTCACCATTGAAAGCTAGAAGAGTGAACTTCGATCATCATAACCGATGCACCTAGAGTGCATGTGTCATGGCTGCCGCAGTCGTCGTCGTTGCTGGATGTTGATGTTTCTTGTTGCCGTTTCCGGTCCCGAACGCGTGCGATCACAAGAGTAATGGATGTGTGTCCCATTTTTTGGCCCGTTTCGCCAATGTAGAGTTCCGCCGGAGAGACTGCTTCTGTACACGTTAGAATTAATCAATGTGACGACACAGCAGTGCAGGCACCATTCGCGTACGAACGATGGAGATTGCACAATGGCCGGCCGTTCTTCTTTCGTGATATCTATCATGATCATCGTCGCCCCGTTCATGAGTTTTCGTTCATTTTATTACAGCAGTGAACCCACCAACGACCTTCCTCGGCTGCGTTCCGCGTGTTACGTCGGCTACACCCGTCCGTCACCAAGCTGAGCTGGTTCACCACGTCGACGCCCCTTTCATCGATCACGCCTTCTTTTTGAGTCCTCCGAAGCCACCAAACAATCTCCTCATCGGAGACACGGCGGCGGTAGGCGGGGCTGCTTTCGTCTCGGCAGAACGATCGCTGTCATCATCGGCCCTTGGCGCGCCGGAGCTACCCCTGGTTTTCACATCCCGGCTGACGTGCCTCTGCGACTTGGTCCCTTGGGCCTTCGCCGTGCCCTTTCGTCAAAATTTTTTTGGGGGATAGAGGGTCGAAGGTCAATTCTTACAACAACTAGCTTTGCTCTTCGAAGCCGTGATCGGTAATATTCTAGCATAAGAAACTGTATGCCAGTTCACCCTGCCGCTTTACACAACAAGGTACGATTTCCGGACAGCAAGGGCAGTTGAGGCGAAAGAATATTTACGTACAGCGGAATGACTTCCACGAAGAGCGGGAAACACCAGTAGGGCGCGTGCCAGCAAGAAGACGCAATGAACTGCACATGTTGCTGTTTACCTGGTTCGTCTCCCTCCTCGTATATCCGTCCCGTTGGCTGCTTCTCTCGTGGGAACGCGATACTGTCCTCCTGCTACTGCTGGTCTTATTATCCGCCTTTGCCCGTTCGGACAGCTGTATCACTTTCTCCCCTCCATCATCGGCAGGTGCCAACTGTTTTCCTTTTCCGTCTTGTTTCTTCTTGTCCTTGCCACGGTCGCTGACGCGAACCTTTACAACTGACGTAGACATCGTCGGAGACCTTCCACCTTTGTTTCCGGACTGGCCGTCAACCGTCATGCTCCGCTCGTCCTCAGAAAGATTGCTACTTTCCGCTGCAGACGCTCGTCTCGACCGAGAGTTTCGGCGCTCGCCTTTCGAGCGTACCGCTGACTTCTCGCTACCCTCGCCGTTTCCCCTGTTTAGCGAGTAGCTTTCCGACGTGCCCCTCCCTCTCGATCTCCTTCGACTCTTCTGATCATGACGCTGTTCGCTATGGCCGCCGTCGTTGCTCGAAATCTGCTGGCTGCTACCTTCGGTTTGGCTCTCGTAATCTTCGTTGTCGTCCTTTCCCGTACTGCGGACCCTCGCCTGCCATTTGGTGGCGGCCGAGAGCTCTTTCTTGGTGTTCTTGACGTCTAATTTCTTCGATGCGGTTGTGGCTTCGGCTTCAACAGCAGCAGAACTAGTCCTCGCCAACGCGTTGCTGGCATTCCTGCCGCGGGTGCGGGTGCGGGTAAATTCGCTTCTTGAGGCCCCCGCCTTCCCATCATTTTCGGCGATAGCATTGGGACCTGGTGAACCGTTTCGGTGGGGGGGGGCATTGCTCGACATGTTCTTCTTGGCACCGCTGCTTTGGCTTTCGTCGCGTCTCTGCCTCGTTCCTTTCTCCCGTCCTTGTGCTCCGTTTCCCCGGGCTTTCGAGGCCCTGGGCTTGTCCTTCGTGTCGTTACTGCGATCGTCGTCGTCGTCGTCGAACCCAAGACTGGCATTGCTGTCGTTGCTGCTGCCACGAGAAGACCCTCTCACGGCTGTTCGGGACAGATCGAGCTGGATACGCTCCTTGGTTTGACTCCGGTGCACGGAGCCGCCCCTGGATGGGCCTAGGGTGTGCTCCACGTGCGCCTTTCGAGCCTAGCATATGCCCGTGCAACGCACGAGACAAACAGAGGAGTGTGTTTCAATCCCATTCAGTCAGCCTTGCAGTCCCTAAACTCAAGACGATGTAATCTCCCTAATGCAGACTGGACATCTGTGGCAGGGCTGATAGGTTTTGCTCAACTGTTACTTCATTGGGGATGCAATAAAAGGGGGTAGGAGGTGTTCAGGGGGAAATTAATGCGTGATTCACTCGTTCAGCACCACGTCGTCGCCCTACACGCCGACGGCAAACAACAAGCAACTGAGACTCTCGGCGGATCCCTCCGGACAAACCGATTCTCACCTCCTGCGCCTCTCTCGTCCTCTTGGAGTACGCGCTGTCAAGTATGTCGGTGGCAGTCTTGAGGGTTGGTCCGATTATCTCCGGACACAGTTTGTGAGACACCCGCATTTCCTTGCGAATCAAGGGCATGCAGTGTGCTTCCATCAGCTCCTGCAGCTGGGGGGTCTGTCGGTATGGGGATCGATTTCAACACGGCGAAAGAAGGCGCCGGAAACTGAGCAACGTAGGCTTCAATCTTCCGTGCACCACGTTCGTTGCAGACCGAATACGCACAAAATACGATAGATGACCCTTGTCAGCCAACGTTTGTCGAAACCAAGGCTTAGGTGAATACTTTCGTGGGTTTTACGAACAAGTGACTCTTTTTGTCTCTCCCTCTCTAGGACTGTCCCTTGATCTGCTCGTCCCCAACACTCTCTCTCTCTCTCTCTCTCTCTCGCCCGCCTCCTGTCACCTCACCGAAACGAGGTGCGCGTGCGAAAGCAAGGCCTCCGACATCACCGCGAACGTCAAGCACGCTTCGAGCTTGTCCGCAGCCGCGGCCACAACCATCGCGGCTACCCGGGGCAGCATCACGCCGAACCCGGCGATCACCGCCTGGTCCCACGCGAACAGACACGCATCTGCCCCGAGGTGTCCAACGAGGCCCATGGTCACCAAGGGTTCCAAGAGGGCCCACAACGCAACGCGCGCTTGAGACTCGGTGACTTCGGGCAGGGGGGCGGAGGTGCGGCTGTCGGTGGTGGAGTCGGTCCGGCTGGAGGATGGCATATCGACACCATCTGCACCTTTCCCCAGTGACGGCGCCTCGGAGCTCGGTTGCCCTTGCGGCAGGAGCGCTGCGCGTCGGCTTGTTGCTGAGCTGGTCCGCCGGGGCGATGGTGGCGGTGTCGTCCTGTCCTGTCCTTGTTCCTGGTTTTCCTGCGGTTGCTGCTGCTGCTCATCGGTCGCAGCATTCGAGGCTCCGCTTTCCCCGACGGCGGAAGAACTACTGTCGGCGGTGTTTACTCGACCGTCCCCCGTCTTACCGTTATCGCCTTTGTTTCCCTCCGAGGGAGCTGCTGCTACGGTCAGCCCCAGGTGAACGCGAGCCACGTGATCGAGCAGTCCACGGAACCCCGGCACTAGTACGCCGTAGCTTTTGTTGACCCAGTCGGGGAGGACAATGTTGTCCGCGCCGCCACGCCCGTCCCCGCTATTCTCCTTGGTTTCCGTAGCAAGAGTGGCTATCTTGGGAGACCTCGCTGATTTCTTGGTTCGAGTTGTTGCGACGCCTCCAGCCCCACTGCCTGACACCCCGGTGACGCCCGATAACTCTTTCGGGTCAACCAAGCCTTCCAGCCCCGCCTCCAAGGCGCCCTCGAACATCTCAACCAACCTCTCGATCATAACATCGATCTCCTGCTCTCTCAGGCTCGACGCTGCTGCTGTTGTTGTGGTTGCCGCTGCGTTGGAGCTGCTGGAAGAGGAGGAGTAAGAGGATTTTGTCGTAATGACTGCGCACAACGGCACCAGGAAGTGCAAGAAGGACTCAGGGATGTTGGCCGTGGCCTTTTGTCCCCGCTTGGTCATCTTGCACGCGTGGTGATAGCTGAGCACCGTCTTCATGAGCACCACATTGCGGCTTGAGAGAGGGAGGATGCGGCGCGAAGCAACGCTCCCAGACTCGAGGAGGACCTAGTGCGACAGAGAAATGTTTCGGCGCACGTGCGCTGCTTCCAAAATGTTCATGAAAACAGATTGAGGTCGGAACGTTGCGAGATGGAGGTGACCGGCGTGTGGAAACGCCTTGCGGAGGGGCATGGGAAACGTACGGTATCAAGCACAGCAGCGGGGCGCGTGATGGGCATGCTTGGCGCTGTCTCTTATCGTTTCCTCTGGCACGCACCTTACTCGGCACGGACCACCGCTTGGAACGCACAAATTTGTACGTCCTCAACTTGTTTGTTTATGTCTCGTGTCTTTTGCCTTGTGACATGATATTGGCTAGTACGTGGTTTTGTAGAAGTCGGGGCGGGGGAGCCGGATGGCTTCACGATACTCTGGAGCCTTCTACGACCTGACATCATAAGCTTGGAGAGTGTTCCTTTGAAAATGTCACTGCTCGTGTGGAGACCCCTTCAGATCTACAGCGTGACGACCACTGGCCGCGTCAATGATGTCAAGAATCTCGTGCGACCACTTGCCTGGCAGCGGTGAGTGATGTAGATGTCCTGCCCCGATATGGTGCTGTTTCGGTTCTGTCTCACCAGCAGCTCGTACTCTTCCCGCGCCTTCATTTGTCAAATGCGGGCCTGATCGCTGTGAACCTCACGGGGCTATTAGCGTACAGTTGAGGAAAAAACTCGACGTGAAGCTTGTACCGATTTCACACGGGCATCACTAGGCCTAGAGAGACGATTCAGCTCCATTCAATGACCAAACGAATGAGCGTTTTGGAGGACAAGGCTAACCGGAAGTTCATCTACACCAGAACTGGCGGCATACCTCGGAAACAGCGCGCTTGGCTTGACCACAGAAGAGATTTCAGAAATGCATTCAAGACACGACATATTTCCACCACTACCTGGCAAGGTGCAAATAACCCTAGGCTGCCAATCATCCGCCCTGGTGCGGGGAAGGAAACCTCGGAAACGAAATCCTTTGAGCTGGCAGAACTCACCGCCGTGTGCTTCAGGAGCAGGCGCCAGATGTCCAGCCTCGCCTTGGACGGGACCGCTTGGTTGAGCATCAGGCGCAGGCTTCCTAGGTGTTCGCGGGGGAGCTCCCTCAGCAGGGACACCGCCCCTTCCGCCGCCGAGTCTAGGATGTGGTCGAGGTACTGGGCTTCCTCGGTGCCTTCGCGATTTGCCGCGCTGTCCTGGACAACTCTCGCTCTGCGAGTAGGCATAGTCTATGGACTTGACTGTGTTTTTGTGGTTACTGGCAGAGCTAGCGCTATGCACAGGAAATGTGTGGCGCTTGTATGTATATGTATTGCAAGTACGTGAGTTAACTAGGTGTGTACACATTTGAACGTCGCACGGACGTCTACACGTGTGCTGGCAACAAGGTGTGCGTCCACATCTGTGCATCAATGCATTTCTGAGTGAGAGCGCATGCAAGCTGTGCGGTGTTTTTTCAGCATGATCTCCTCCTCGGACTGGCAGTACTATGGGATAACGTAGTGCTCGTGACGCGGTGGTGCGGGATGTTTCGTGATGCCCTAGGGTGGTCGAGGAAACGCTCCAGGCCAAAATCTGACACCATTCTGATGAAGAAGGCGTCCGCCTCCATGTGGTACACAATGCTTCGCTCTTGCAAACAAAGCTGCATTCGACGGCCAACTCGGCACTCCACTCGGTCTGTCTCTGGTCGTACCTGGCTTCCTTGGCGATCTCTGCGTCCATGGACTTGCTGAACTGCGACTCGAATGCCTGGTACACCTGCGTAGAGCGAGCAGAGCTGTCCAGATAAAGGACCCGGAGTCACCCCTCTGGACTCTACTAGGTAACGTTGACCTCAATGGCATGTAGCGATGAAAGTATCCCGATCCTTCTAAAGTCTTGATCGAACCTAACAGTTTGGACTAGAAGACTTCGAAGGAACAAGGCCATCGGGGTGGTTGGTTCCATACGGCTGAAAATTTCCCCTCAAAAGCACCACATCCTGGTTAAGGGTAACGCAGATGTGCGCATGATGGAATGAGTAAACCACACTATTTCCGGCAGCTCACTTTGTTGTTCTCGGACATGATGTCGCGGTGCGCTTCTTCAAGAAGTGTGATCTGCTCCGGCGAAGACAGGTCCGAAAAATGTCCCAAGCCATGCGACTTGAGCACAGTAGACACCCGCTCAAATAGCTGATCAGAAAGGACCTGTTCTACATTGAAAAACGGTGCGTGCCAACAGGTAAAAGAGCGGTGATTGTGTCTGATGACCGCAGGAGTAGAACACACCGCCATAGACTCTAGATGTCTCCGATAAACACAAACACGTTTCTTATCTCAGCGCCAAAACTTGCGTTCTTGTTACAGATTCGCCGGCAGTCGCGTCCAGTTGGACAAATCAGCACAGCACCGCCTTTGAGTGTTGGAGTGCCGATGAAAGACATGTGCAAACCGCATCCAAGTCTGCTGCGCTTTGTCAGGGTACAGGATCTTTCGTTGCGAGCTTCGACAGCCATATCCAAAAGAGACCAGTTTCACCGCGCACCTCCCACGCCGGCGAACGACCGATCTCCTCTCTGACGTTAACGACCCAAGCCGGCGTACCGACAGCGCCCATGCCAGAGGCTGTTGGTATCATCTGGTACGAGGCCTCCTCGCGGACGTTCAGGGCGCTGAGCGCCGCCGAGAACTGCGAGAAAAGAGGGAGGAAGATTGCATACCGCGCGCGGGACTGTCGTCTTTTGGGGGTTCGTTGAGAATTGAGAGGGATTCATGAAAAATGTGCGGCGGAAATAGCGAGAGAGAGAGCGAGCGTGGGAGAGATTCTCACAGCATCACAGCATACCAGCAAGCGTGCCAGAGAAGCTTCCCACAGTATACAACAGCGGGGCAGCAGTGGCAGGAGAGGGACCGGCCTTTGTGTTCTCGTCTTGAAATATGTCGTCGTGCATTACCCTGCCGCTCCAGCTGGTGCTCGTCTCCATCTGCGCACTCACGGTGGACGCCTTCTTCCCTTCTACATTGACGAGCGGTTCGCTGCCCTTTGACCGTGTGCACCATGGCGGCTGCTGCAGCAGCAGACACACCATTTCCAAGGCAGGCGTTGGAATGACCATGTCTTCGGTGAAGACCAGCAGCGCCGCCGACAAGCTCCGCGATCTACTCAGCCGCCCCGAGATCCTCACCATGCCGTGCTGCTACGACGGTCTCACAGCTCGGCTAGTGGAAGACGCCGGGTTCCCGTTGACGTTCATGACAGGGTTTGGAGTTTCTGGCGCACACGGGTTGCCCGACACTCAGGTGATGGTGTCCTCTTCTACAGCAGTACACTGCTGTTGAATATGGAGCGCATGCCACTTCCCCGAAAAGGTCATCTCAGATATGTGCCGTTCGCCATCAAACAACAGCCGTGATGCCGGCGTTAGACGGTGCCAATCGGCGGGTGCGCTTTGCGTTCGTTCATGTTTACGACGCATCGTCTTCAGCCTGTCGTCTATTGCTGTTGGCGAGGCGTGCAAACCTACGGTGGTTGGCAGCGACATACTGACCCCCCCCGGATCCTTCCCGCGTGTGTATGTGTGATGCAATGCGATTCGGCCGCATCGGATCGTAGCTCCTGTCGTACGCCGAAATGCTGGCTTCCGCCACCAATATTTGCGCCACCCTGCGAAACATACCATGCATAGGGGACGGCGATACAGGCTATGGCAATAGTGTGAACGTCAAGCGGACGGTCAAGGGCTACGCGCAGGTGCGGCCGCGTTGGGTCTTTGGTACGAGTCAATTTGGTTCAGAACATGTTGGTTTGCTGCCAACCAAAATACTTACGTGTATCGGCGCTGCGGCCTGCGCGACTTCGGTCGTGCAAAGTTGCGCTATCGAATCCTCTCAGTAACGCGATATTGGGCGATCGCTGCCGTAGCGAGAACCAATGGCAAGATACAGGTATGGCTTCCCCCTCTGCTTGCACCCGGGCATGCCTCTGCGGCAGCGGAACGTGGAAAACTGCTGGTTTTGACCGGATTCCACACCCTATCTGACAAGCTCCCCGATAGCCCCGGGCCGTTCGGCACGGTGTATCCTTCGAAACCGCAACGCAACAGTCAATATCCCCGTGGCACGTGAAGGTCTCAAGCGGATCGGGCAAACCGTCAAACAACGGGTACCGGGAAATAGTGGTACCTACATAGTGATCAGTGACGGTATTAAAAAATTTCGTCCAGCTGACCTCCCAGCCGCTCCATCACTTCCCGGCGCTGCCTGTTCTACGCAATCATCACGTGATTTCTCTTGCGGTGCAAAAGGTGGGCATGGCCGGCATCATGATCGAGGACCAGGTCGCCCCCAAGCGCTGTGGCCACACGAAGGGGAAGACCGTCGTCGGGAGGGAGGAGGCCTACAGCCGTGTTAGGGCCGCGTGCGACGCCAGGTGGGCAGGCAGTAGAACCACCGTTGCATCGAGTTTCCGTTCTTCTGTTTCGGGGGCGACGATGGTGTTGAAAAAAAGTAGCCACTCCACCAAGTGCTCCCTCACGACTACCTCTTCCCATCCTCCACCATTTTTACCCCGCACGCCGCCGAGTACTCCCTCACCACCGCCTGTTCCCTTCCTCCGCTACTACTCAAACCCCGCAAGCCGCTGAGTACTCCCTCATCGCCACCCCTTCCCTCCCTCCGTCGTTTTTCTTCAGAGACGAAGGCGCAGATATCCTCATCATGGCCCGCACGGACGCCCGGGCTGGTCTGGGACTGGAAGAAGCGCTCGAGAGATGTAAGGAGTTCAGGAAGATTGGCGCGGACATCACGTTCTTGGAGGCCCCTCAGAGCGAGGAGGAGATGCGGCGGTACTGCCAAGAGGTCGACGGTCCCAAGCTCGCCAACATGCTCGAGGTACATGTTGAAGGAGCGCAACGGCGATTTTCCGCTGCTTACCAAGACGACTGCGTCTACTGCTGTTGTTGTGCATGGCACGAATTCACATTGAACTTCGTTTTGCACGAGTTGCCTTCCTGTTGTGTTTCGTGCGTGCTTTTTCGTCAGTTTTGGGAACAATTTCGTGCTTACGAGGGCACCTTCCTCTAATATTTCGCGCCCGTCTTTACCGCAGTTTGGGAAGACCCCAATATTACCGCCCGTCGAGCTCGAGGAGATGGGGTACGCGATCGCGGCCTACCCTCTGAGCCTGCTGAGCGCGAGCATCAAGGCCATGAACTCGACTCTCGAGAGGCTCAAGGCGGGAGAACCGTTGGATGACCTCCTGGAAGGCTTCGAGGAGGTCCAGAGAGTCGTTGGATTCAGGGACTACGACTCCACGGCGGAAAAGTACAAGATTGACTAGAACACACACCAAGAATGGCAAGGTTGCTCTGAGAGCCGTTGGACTTCATACCCAATGGCATCGGCTTCCTAGCGGTCAAAAACAGACTCTGGATTCAGAGATTAGGAAGATGCCGCCACAGAAAAATAGGACTGGTTCATAAAGTTAGGAGGTACAGAAGGCCTTGCGTTTTCAATTGTTGTACACTTTCCCGAGTTTTTGTGCTTTCGCGCTCGTATTTTCACTGCGAGAGCCTCTGAGCCTTTCGATGTGAGGAGTGCTTCGAAGAACGCTTCTGTAAACAGATGCGGCGCGGCCTGCGCGCGCCCTCCACCATCGACGTGCAGAGTACGGAACGGCCCAACAGGCAAAAGCCAGTGACTACGAGCAAGCTAGAGAGAACATAAACCTCAATGACATCACGCAGAAACAATTTTTGGCGACTTGACACACATTCAAGGTACGTACATAGCACTCTCCGTTGTTCATTTTCATATTGGTCCCAAAAGTCCGCTAGCGGTGACCGGAAAGAGCGACGGGCGATCAACCTACACTTGTTTAGTTAACATCCCACGCATTTACCGCTAGTACAAATTTCGTCGAAAGAAAAAGATGCGCCTGCAAAACCACTGCAGTCTCTACTATGCGCTTGCACCTCTTCCGTACTCCATTTCATACGCACGCTCCCTCCGCCTGAGGTTCCACCTTTTGTTTTACCTCGGTGTGGCTTCGTATGCATTCACCGTTCTCTCTCCCTGTAACTCTGCCCTCGCAATCTCTCGATACGCCTTTAATCAGTTTCTCCCACACGGTGGACCTACCCGCACCATATATACAGAAATCGGCACTCCACTCTTTCGCTGCTGACATCAAGAAAAAAATAACTAGGCTGGACATCCACTGCCGCACTCTACACACATCTCTGCTGCCGACAAACGCAACCACGCAGTGGACAAGGCTGTAGAACCCTCAACACTACGCTGTCCGCACGCACAACGAACCGATCAACCGCGGACAACGAAGGGGGGGGGACTAGTCACTGCCGCCACTTCTAGGACCAGGAAACAATAACAACTCCCTTTTGGATTGTTGTCGCCCCTGGCCATACGGGCGTCTTCTATCGGGCAGTCGGCTCAGGCGACCGATACATGCTTAAGACACTCTCTACCTCGTACCATAGCACGAAAAATGGGTAATCCCAGAACTCCAACAAGGTCTAACCCCAAAATTTAGCCGTCTTCAACCAGAGGCTATCGGAAACGGAGCGAGCAAACACTGCTCGGCCCCTTTGATCGCTACCCCCCTCCGTCTATCCACCGACCCCCTCCTGACACAGAGCGAAAGAGCGCCGCATTGTGACATCGGGAACATCATGGTTGCGGAAGCGCGAGGGCGCCAACTCTTCGCATAGCCACTAAATAGACGGAGGACAGCGCATAAAATATCATGGCTGATTACGTCGTTCGTCTCCCTCACTTGGCTACGGTCTGCGTAGCGCGGCCCTTGCCGAGGTTGTACTCGAAGTGGTAAGGTACCTGCGAAAACCGAAACGTTGCGTCAGCATGCTGGGGTTAATCGATCTTTGATCTTCCTAGCATGTGTGGTAGTGTACAAGCTAGGGAGATCAAAGATCAGACAAGCGGAAAAAATAAAGCGACAGGAATGGCCCTTTGAAATGCCAAGACACGACACTGACTGTGTAGGCATTGCCGAGTCATAGCATATGCACATGCGTATGTAAAGCGACTTTGAAATTCCGTGGCAAGAGAAAGTTTGGAAGTGCGCTGCTGTAGGTCATTTGTAGCTCGCGGTAGGGAGGTGGGAATAAAAGCTAAGACGGGCGTACGTTGCGGTTGATAGCTGTTTGCTGCCCGATGTTAGCGGTCACTCGATGCGCAAAAGTGGAAAATTGCCCACGTTGGCACAAAGCTTCAAACAGCCAAACAACCAAACCACAACTGCCATACGCGTGTGTGTCCGCCTGCTTGCCTGGCTTCTGTCGGCCTTTTCCGTCCGTACGTGTCTCCTGGCTCAAATCTCTCTGGGCGTGTCTTTCTAGTTCGTACAGGAATATCCAGCCACCTCTCCGTCTGCATCCCCGTACACCTACTCCGTAGAAAAATAATAATGCCTCCCCCTTGGCTGCATTCTTTCTCTCCGACCAGTCTCTTGGGAATCCCTCCTCCCGCCCACACCCTCCCTCCCGACTCACGTTGCGGTCGTTCAAAGCGCGGACAACCCACAGCGGCGAGCTCCAGCTGTTCCCCTGCTCGTTCGGGTAGCCCTCCCCGACACGAATGCGCGTGGCCTCCCCCGCCGCATCGGGTTTCACAAAGGCGTAGGCTTTGTCGCCGCCGGCGAGAAAGTCGACCTTGGTGTCGAGCCCCTTGTCTAGAGACTGGAGGAAGCTCTTGAAGGTAATTGAGTCTTCATCGGTGGGGGCCGGCGCGCCTGGGTAGTCCTGGGACCCGATAATTGCCGCCAAGGGAAAAACATTAGAAAGTCGACCTTGGTGTCGAGCCCCTTGTCTAGAGACTGGAGGAAGCTCTTGAAGGTAATTGAGTCTTCATCGGTGGGGGCCGGCGCGCCTGGGTAGTCCTGGGACCCGATAATTGCCGCCAAGGGAAAAACATTAGAAAGTCGACCTTGGTGTCGAGCCCCTTGTCTAGAGACTGGAGGAAGCTCTTGAAGGTAATTGAGTCTTCATCGGTGGGGGCCGGCGCGCCTAGGTAGTCCTGGGACCCGATAATTGCCGCCAAGGGAAAAATATTGGAAGTAGTTCGTTTTTCTAGTTGCGGCGGCCGCGAGACGGAAAAGAAGAGGCGTTGCAACCAGTGTCCATCAGGGTGCGAGAGATGGAGCATACATACAGGAAAGGATGTCAAGGGATAATCTTCTCTCTTCCTTCGTGATCTGAGTGCCAAAACAGCGGATAAGGGCGGCGGGGAAACAGGGAGACGGCCAGCGTTTTCCTGCTACATGTTGACCTCTCGTTGATGATGACAACTGCCGTCCAGGAAGCAGTAGAGAGCGGTATTGTAGCGGTGAACAGGGAGGCACTAACTCAAAAAGTCTTCTCTCGATCACTGCCTGTGCTGACCCTATAACGTCCGTGGCACGCAGGTTTGTACGTCGGGAGTCCCACAACAACAAAAGAGGCAACATTGGCGTACCAGTCCCTGGAACTCCCCGCAACCGAAGCCCATGCAGATGGACGTGAACGGGTTGGTGCCTGCACAGCACCAACAACAAGGGAGGGTGGTCGAATGAGGGCTTGTCGCCGCTTTTTTTTTTTTTCTTAAGGGTACTTATTATGTGTCATTTTCGGCCAGATTATTTTTGATCAATAATGATCTAGGTGTCACATCCGGCTTCTTATGTGTCATTTTTGCGCCTTTTTTGATCGAAAAAAATATGATCTGGGTTTCTGATCGCCCGAGTTGATCAGAAAACTTGGAAAAAATGGTTCTTGATCAAAAATAATCTGATCAGATATTACACATAAGAAGTACCCTAATATCACACAACAAATCCATCTCTATCTATAGAAATACGCTTTTGCTACTTTTATCCGATGACGTTGGTGCTGAGGTCGTGTGCAACGATACCCATACAGAGAGGGGCTTCGAACGTCCTGCGTCGACGGAGATCAAGACGAGAATTTTTTCCAGAAACAAATACATCAAGAAAAATAATTTGTTCCAATAATTTCCAGAAAAACGGCTCAACTTTGTACGAAAAACAAGCAAAAAGGGCTATAAGAAACATAGCTCAATCTCGGCCACAACGCAAGAAACGCCCCAGTAAGAAACGTGATGGTGCGATACCCCTATGACATCAGAAATCTGCGGTGCTCCCAACCTCCTCCCAAGCTGAACAGAAGTGCATTTTTTTTTAAGGGGGCAGAGTCCCCCCCCCCGCGCCCCCCCCGCCCCCCTGCTGTTCACAGTGAGACAGCCATACGCTCTCCGCTGTTGTACGGGTTTGATGACATTCTCGACCACCTTTCTTGAGGGCTTGATGTTATTGTCCTCAGAGATCAAAAGACAGAAAAAAGAAAATATGAAGTACTTGTTGTAGTCTAAGGAATAAGAGAATCGGGAGGATGCGACAATCCAAAGGAAGAAGAAATGCCATTTACGAAATGGACGACTTGGGCCGGTACTTCGACCCAAAAGAAGGGATCGGTGGGCTCGAACCGAATTTGACGTTTCTTAACTGCGGGCGCTATCTGTAGGATCGAACGTCCTCCAAGCGAGAGGTAACCTCGCCCTCGGTGAGGGACGAGGTTATGCACGACTCTTTTTTTGGCGGCATCAGATGGACCGCGGTAGATGGGAGGGATCTTGTATCCATACCAACAACCAGTTGCAGCTGCAGCAGCAGACCGCTCGCTACTTCTGCTGTCTGTGCGTCGCTACTTCTGCACTCACTGTGGTGCGTGGTTCGTGCAAGGGGCGGCCCGCAGGCCCGCAGGACACAAAAACAGGGGGGTACGCTGCAGAAATAATGGGGGTACCCCATTATCGAATATTCGGCCGGGCCCCCGGTGCTCAGCAAAACGCAAAACGAAAGGTGTATATACGCCAGCGCTGGCGAGATTCTTGCACTCGCCAGTTCAACAATTTTTGGGTTGTGATTAGAGGCAGACACGAAACCAAAGTCAGAGCAGGTTTCCAGCCCTCAGGCAGCACCAAGGCGCTAGGCCTCACTAGGCCTAACCCACCCCTAACCCTAACCCTAACCCAACACCCCTTGTGGGAAGCGTTCCCCGTTCTCCTTTTATTTTATTTTGATCGGTCTCCTCGACGCTCTTTCTCGTTTGGTGCGGTAGCTGGTCTTTCTTTCTATCATTTTGTTTCTCTTCCGAGTGGTTTTTGTACCCTATTTTTTTCTGTTTCTTCGTGGGGTCGTGTATGCCGGGTTTTGAGACCACGGGCTCCCAATCTCTCTTTTTTAGAGCTAATGTGAGAAACAACAACACAACAAACCCCAAAATAGGTTGTTGTTCAGTGGGTAGGCCTAGGTCGCTGTACCGAGGGAACGTGCAAGAATCTCGCCAGCGCTGGTGTATATGCACCTCGTCCTCAGCAAAACAAGTTACCTTTAAGCGGGGAGCTTCCTTAACGCGAGCGTCCTTAAAGAGGGGTCGACTGATACCGTAGTCTAGACTACGCCAACACAGCAGTAGGTATGATACACAAAACTGCCCGCAGCGGCAAATCGGAGGTCCACGACCAAAACTTGCGCCCCCCCCCCNCCCCCCCCCCGCCTCTCTCTCACCAGGCGGAAGCTCTTCGGCAAATGCTGCCGGCACAGACGCGGTGCTAAGGATGGCCACCGAGGTGGCCACCGCAGCAGCAACGGCGGCGCGCTCAATCCTCGATCGTAGTGGAGTCCCTTGTTTCATGCTCATGGTCGCTCTCGTTGCCGGGTGCGAACATGTTGTTGCCAGCGGAGTTGTTGGAACAAAAGCTTCACTGAAGCAGAGCACGAACCCCAGAAGCAACGCACGGATACGGTTCTTCATCTGTGCTTCTGGGAGGTAGGGGGGACAAGAAGGGCGACGGTGAGGCGGTGAGGGAGCGCGTGCGGATGAAGTGTACAGGCTTTTGGCAACAACTGGCGATGGGAGAGGGAGGTGCGGCGCAATTACGCTTGCACGATGAGGTACGCAGAGTTCCTCTGTTGCGGTAAGGTTTGAATCCCCCGCCCCTTTTCGTCTCTCCCTCCCCATCCCTTGAGCACACGCACCTTACAATAGACACGCTCACTCACCGAATCAAAGTTGACACCAATTTTCAACACAAGCACACCCATTTACGACTCTGCGACAGCGTTGACAGGTAGCGATAAGCAAAGTAGCGGGCACACGAACTTCATGAACATGCTTCGGTTTTTGCCCGGCAAGAAGCGTCCACTTCAACAACAACGAACACCAGCAGGAGCACCAGGCAACCACGAACAAGCGCAAGGAGCTCCTGCGGCGATGACCCTGGAACAGCAGCTGAGGCTGCCACCGAACCAGACAGAGGCGCGTGAAGACGGGGATGAGGGAGAGGAAGAGGAAGAGGAGGAGATACGAGAGGAGCGGCAACACACGATAGACCTGCAGCGCAGCAGCAGGGGGTTGAGCAACGCTGACGAGATGGCGCTGGTCCAGCAGCGGGAGCTCCGGATTCAGCGGAACCTGTCCCTGCCGGAGAGGCATCCGCGGTCGTCTTCCTCGTCCCAGGAGTACGGCGTGACGGATCACGAAGAGGACGACGATGACGGGGAGAGGAGCGACCGCTCTGACAGCATCGAGTGAGTGTACGTGTGTTGGTTTGGTCCTGCTTTTCCAGATCTTTTCGGTAGAACGCGTGGAGGCGGCAGCTGCCTGCCTCTCCCCCCCCTGAGAAACACGCACCTCACAGTCAGTACATCAAACGACACACTTCAACCCGCCGTCCTTGCACTTTTCACGCCAGCCAAACAGCTGTGCCTATAGATAGGAAGAGATCACGGCACCTTGGGACGCCACCCCTCTTGCTGCGCCTATGTGGAAGGGGGGATGATAGGAGCCTTGCGGGGGGGGTAGGAGGACGGTGTGGGCGCCGGCGGCAAAGCAAGCTACTTCGGCATTCGGCAAAACGTAGATTTTCGGTCCTTTTCCCGTCGCCAAGGTTCTACCGCACATACATGTGCATACGCATTAGCATCCGCGAATACATTTTCAACGGCAGTAGCTGATATTCCAAACCACATGTGGTCTCTGCATTGCCTATGCATATAATATAGCACAAGGTTTTTTTTATATATCCCTCGCGTGTGTAGTCCACGGTTCGTTTTTTTAACCCCCGAGCCTGGTCCGGTGAGAACCCGGCGTGCTCCGTCCCGGCTTTGTAGGGATGCGAGGTCAATGGTCTAACGACTACGGCATGCACGACTATGAGTACACCCCCCTCTGCGAGTACTTGGCGTTGGATTTCTTGCCAAGGCTCAAGGTTTAACTTTTAAACTCTACACATCCCGACGCGGCGGCTCTGCGAGCGAGCTGTCTGCTGCTGGGTACGTGGGAGTGCGCGCGCGTCCGTCACTTTCTCGCGCACGCTCCAACCATACTCCGACACCCTCCTGCCCCAACATCCGGTCGCTAGAGTGCTCTAGCTCGCTAGCTCCCATCACGAAATCCCCGCTCCGCTTCAGCACGTTCATGGCAGCACAGCCTGATACTGTTTCGTGACGTGTGCATAGAGAGAAAATACAGCAGATTAAAATTATTGTCCAACATATTTTTACCCGAAAACACAGGTGGCGGGGTCGGCGTCGGCGCCTGCCGTTTTGGGAACATATCTCCGCGCGTAGGTCTTGTCGTGCCATCGCATATGCTGAGCGCCAGCCTACACCTTGCGGTAGCGAGCCAAGACCTTGCGGTGTATGGTAGACGCACCATCCGGGTTACATGGAAGGGAGTTTTCTTCTTTCAGATATGAATATTGGTCTCTACCTTCAGATATAAGCTACCGCACTCCCATGTCTACAGGCACTGTACCATGTCTACAGCAGGCCGAAGGGTAGACATGACTGCAACAGCAGCAGTGCAACAGGAATCCAATCGTCGTAAATGCGCTCCCAAAGCAAAGCGTTTTCGTGCGGTACGGTACATGAGTCTGCAGTCGATCGCCCTCCGACGTTGTTTCCGCCGGTCGTCGCCCGCTTGGGCGCGCCAGTCCCCCGAGCACCACGTCCGTGTCGCGAGCCCGAGACTCCAAAGGCGACTCGATGTACAGCACTGCGACCATTATTGCAAGTTGTTGCTAAAGTTGACGATGCGGTGCGGTGAATCGTTTGAAATATCTTTAAAATGTCGGCTGTCTTCGTCGACTTGAGCTTGCCAATCTTTGCACAGGTCCGTTCTGTAGGGTACTCACAGATCGGTACCGGCGGTATTTTCCCTCTGTAAGTACCGACAGATCACTACAAAGAAGATCTGTCAGACCCCAGTACCCTACAGAGATTTCACAGATAGTTCGGTACTCTCCCCAGTATCTACCGAGATTTTACAGACTGTTCGGTACTCTCCCAGTACCCTACAGATATTTCACAGAACATTCGGTACTCGCCCAGTACCCCACAGAGATTTCACAGAACGTTCTGTATTCTCCCAGTACCCTACCGAAAAGTTCTGTGAGGCCCCAGTACATAGAGATTTTACAGAGGAGTTCTGTGAGACCCCAGTACATACAGAGATTCTACAGAAAGTTCGGTACTCTCCCAGTACCCTACCGACAAACAGTTCTGTAACTCTCCCAGTACCCTACCGAAAAGTTCTGTACAGTAGTACCCTCGGAGGTATGACGTCAGGATTGCGCCGAAGACCCCACCTGCCCCACAGCCACAAAAAGCTTGAAGGCGATCACAGAACTAGACCTAGGTACCTCCACAGAACTCCTTTCGGTCACATAGCTTGAGAGGAACATGAGCGAGAGTGCAGACCTCAGCAGCAGCGTCTCCCCGGCGCAAAGTACAGCAGTTGGGGGTGGAGGAGGCGAGGGTGAAACAGAAACAGCCGTACGTGTTTTGTGTTTTGCTTTGGTGCACTGCGTTTTCGCTCCAAATGACAACAACGGAGGCTTAGTGCTGCGTAGCTACGGCGGTTGATTGTTGATTCTGTTGTTGTCGTTCTTCGCGGTTTTGATTGCTGTACCTCTGAGTGGAGGAGGCGCCAAGGCAACCGCAGGTCAGGTGTAGTCGAACTGTTTTTTTTTTTCGTGTCAGCTTCATTAATTATAGTTGATGAGGAAGACCAATGGTGGCGCCGCTGTAGGGTGGGGTAGAATCAGAATGCACGGAGCCACGTTGATCTCGGAGTATAATATCAGTATTGTGTTTCATGCGGTGCAGACGTCCTTTTGTGCGGTGCAGGACGTGATGTCCTGTGACGCTGCTACTATCGGGGTAAGTACCGGGTTCGTCTGTAGGTACGTTGTTTGTGTACCATACAGAGGAGTTCTGTGAGACCTAAGTACCCTACAGAGATTTCACAGATAGTTCGGTACTCTCCCCAGTATCTACCGAGATTTTACAGAATGTTCGGTACTCTCCCAGTACCCTACAGAGATTTCACAGAACGTTCGGTACTCGCCCAGTACCCTACAGAGATTTCACAAAACGTTCTGTATTCTCCCAGTACCCTACCGAAAAGTTCTGTGAGACCCCAGTACATACAGAGATTTTACAGAGGAGTTCTGTGAGACCCCAGCACATACAGAGATTTTACAGAGGAGTTCTGTGAGACCCCAGTACCCTACAGAGATATTACAGAACGTTCGGTACTCGCCCAGTACCCTACAGAGATTTCACAAACAGCTCTGTAACTCTCCCAGTACCCTACAGAAGTATCAGTACCCTACAGAACGGACCTGTGCAAATCTTGCGATCACGACGTCCTTGTCGCCAGCTCGAGATTCGGACGGCGACTCTAACGAGCGGCACTTGTGTCACCTCAGCGCCGATATTTGGACAAGACACTGTTGGAGGGCATCAAGCCATCAACCATAACTTCTTCCACTGAGGGCAGTTTCATTGTATGAAACAGATTATGGGATTGTGCATCATGACTGCTCTTTTTCTGCCTCGCTTGGAGTTGGTTTCGTGTGCAAACTGACGCAAATACCCATACATGCATACACACACGCTTCGGACATGAACCACCCATGTCGACAGCATCTTTTTTTCGCCATTTTGGTTGAATTCGTTGTCTTGAGGCGGTTACATGTTCTCCCTGGAACGTTAGTCGTAAATGTGTAGCGTGTGGCGACCAACGGGATGAGGTGGAAGATCTGCGCGTCAGGCAAACACACATACTTTGCTACGCAAGCTTTTGCTTGCAGCGGCTCTCCCCTCAGTCGGGGATATTCACGTCGGGTAAGCAGAGAGAGGCAATCAATGCACCCGAAGTTTCTATTTCTACATTTGTTTGTAGTAAAGAGTCGACGAGCATGCGACAACTTGCTTGAGCTCTTTAGGCCGCATCATCAACCAGCTGCGGGAACTTTTTCGAATTCCGCCGAGTGTTTTTGCGACCAACAGTGTTCAGTCTACAGTGGGGGCTCGGTTTAAGAGAGGGGTGTGCGTGATCCAGAAGGCCTCTCTTAAATACGATCTTATCTTAATCCAATTCAAGAGAGGTTTTCTCTTAAAACAAGACTGCCGGTTTAAGAGAAGTCCCCACTTAAACGGACTCTATGGCTTTTAACAGGGTCTAACTTGATCGAAGTGATGAAATGTTTTTCTTCATTGTAATCCACAATATTTTCTTGCGTTAGAGGGCCCTCACTCAGCGTGATCCCTCCTTTTTGTTGTGTACGAGGCAAACAGCAGCAAAGAACCGATGTAATTCCAAGGTGTACAGCAGTGTAAATCATAGGATAGCTGCTAACAGGACACAGAGACGTGAGCATCCCACACACAAACAACTTCAAGACCAGTGACTCAAGCACCTACAGCAGTACAAGTAGTACACCCTACCCCTGAAAAAACGTCCTGTTGGCAGCTTCCTCTGCAACTAACTTCACATGAAGTCTGCCATGCATGTTCGCTTCGTTTTCCTTGACCCAGCCTCGCTCATCCAGGCGAACTTCGCCTTGCGAAGGTGGCACGCTACCCCGGCCGTGCTGCACTTTTCTGCTTTTCCTTCGAGGTCCCCGAACTGCCTAGATACGTCAGCGTACGGTGGCGGACGAGGAGAGACCAGGGGCTGCGTTCACTGGCCCTCGTCTCCCGCCGAAGAGTCGGCCTCGTCGTCGTCCGAGTCTAGGTTCAGTTGGTCTAAGTTTAGTGGGGCAAGCGAGTCCTCACAAAGATCGTCCTTCAGATGTGCAATAATGGCCTCGGCCACGTCCGCGTTCTCCTCTACACCCAACCATGTCTGCACGGCTTCCATGGAAGCCTCGGTTGGCGTTGCGCCAGGTGCCATCCCCAGACCCTTTAGTGCCTCGCCAAGGTCTTCATCGAGAGTTGTCTTCTTCGCCTCCAGAGAAGACGCTGCACCAAGTCCGTCAGCTCGTCGAGGCTCTCCTTCTTGTTGGGGGTATTCTTTCCCACATGCTGGTCGAGGCCCGCGTGCATCTCTGGAGGATGTCACATTTCCTCCAGCACCTTGTAAACAAAGAACAGCCAAGTACGCGGGAAGGAGAGAGGAACATGCACGGGGAAAATGTAACAGAATGAGCTATGCAGCATGCGAAAAAAAACACTTCCTTCAAAAAAAATAAAAACGTGCACGATGATGGCATCAGTGAACGATGTTACGTCAACCAACACTATACGTCGAAATGGCATGTGTCTTAAGGGAGGGGGGAATTAGTCTATACAGTAGCAACCACACCATGATGTTGTAGCACACACGTCGTGATTGTCTCCACCCACACTTCCTTCCACGTCTCGAGGCCTAGCTCAGCTGCGTCCAGGATGTGAGGCTTCCCTCCTTCGCCTGCTCCTGTAGCTGCGCTGCCGACGTCATCGTATCGACGCGAATCCCCAGCAGCTTTGTCCTGTACCGCACCTTCCAGGCTGCGATGATCCCGGCATCCATGGGCTGGTGCTTGCTGGTGCAGTTGGGTGGCAGCTCAAGAATCTTCACCTTCTCCTTGGGGTAAACGAGGTCCGCGTGGCTGCTGTGGTTGTCCATGATGAGAAGAACCTTCTCGCTGGTAACGGAGCGCACGTGTGGCAGGAATACTTCTAACCACCACAGCTTGAACACTCGCGCGTGTGACCACGCGTTCTTCTGGCTTAAGCACTTGATGGGTGATCCCCGGATCTTGAAGCACCAGGGTTCCTTGGCTGTGCCAATGATAGACAGCAGCACCATACGCCCGCTGGCGCTCGTAGCCATGTAGGCGGTGACTCTATCTTCGCCTTCATACCTTTCACGCCTCGCACGGTCGTGTTGACTTCTGATGGTGCAATGTATGTAGCCTTGGGCATAATCCTTTAGCAGAGCCCAGTTTCGTCGGCGTTGTAGACGCATTCTGGGGCATACTGAGCACACGTCTCGCGGACGATTCTAAGGCGATCGGCGATGGCTTCGTCGTCGACGCCGCCTGCTTCGCCGTGAAGTGTGCGGGAGTGGAGGTTGTTGGGCTTGACGAACTTCTTAACCCACCCCTTGGACGCGCTGAAGCCGTTGCACTGCACGCGCTCGGCGTCCGTAGATGCCGCGTCCTCGAGTCCACGACGAGCTTTGCGCCCGAATGCCTGGATCGCGTCTCAGTTGACACGCATTTTCAGTGCCCTCGCCTGCACCAACATTTCCATGACTGCTTGTTCCACCTGGAGAAGAAAAGGGGACAATGCAGTACTGCACTGCTGTATATTTCGTATTATCCGACAGCAGGTACTGCACGGCATGATACAGCAGTCTACTGTGCACACTAGTCGGATGCTGAGCAAAAATGGCCACAAACGTACTCGGAATTGACACAGAACTGCTGTTACATTTGCTGTACAATGCTGCTGCTGTATGTACAAAAAAAAATCAACATTCAAAGCTGCTGCTGTATGTACAAGAAGCATTTAAAATTTAAAAAACGAGATCGAAATTCCGCAAACCGCTCGGAATTAAAGCTGCTCCTTCTTCTGTGTACTGCTGTACAGAATACAGCTGAGCAAAGAGGCACCCACCTTCGCAAACTCAGCCCCCTAGGTAGACTTGTCGCCGGGCATGGAGACTGCTGCCTGCTTTCTGATATCTGCTTCCTTAGCTTTCCACCCGTACAAGGTGCTCACCCCGATCCCCATGTCCTTCGCGATTGCTGTGCCGCTCATGGTTGTCAAAAGGTCGAGCGCTCGAACCTTTTGGTTAGGCGTCGGTCGTTTGCGGTTTTCGGCGCCACAAGCTTTCCTAGGTGCAGTGTTGCCAACGGGTTTCAAGCTGCCCAGTGCACCCGCTTGCTTCGCGTTTCCCGTTGCCCGCCCGCCCGGGCAGGGACGCTTCGAAAATGTAGCCCCAGCAGTCGAGTCTGTGCTCGAGTCCTTGGGGTTGTTCGAGTTGACGTATTCTTGGCAAACACGGTGCATCTCGTTGTCGCTAAGCGGGTCAGGCACATCGCAGTCCATGAAGGTAGCCTCCGCAGACACGGCATGTGTGGTTCGTAAACTGTGGGGGGGGCTGTATGGTCCGGCGTTGCCACGCAGCGAGAACCCGCGGCGCAAGGCATCCGTGGGAGCTGTTTGTCCTGCTAGCTATGTAGGTGATGGCACGCTGTAGCTGCAGTGGTGGGGGGTAGCTGGGGGCTAAAGGGGGGGGGGAGGGGCAGATTCGGTTTAAGAGGATCGGGGTTTGAAGGTGTGTCTAGCTATTTTGACCTCTCTTAGACCGGCAATTCTGTAACAAGGGTGTTTGCCCGACACGAGATAAGGTGCCCCAAGCCTTATATACTGACATGTGGTGCCCACAATTCTCTCAAAATGAGCTTAAACCGTAGCCCCCACTGTACTTCGAAACTTCTACACAAGATATTCGAATATCCATCATGAAGGATCGTTTTCAGCAGCGATTACCTAGGAGCAAAATTGATTGCCACACCCATTGTTTTCGTGGAACTCATCATTTCTTTCATGTGATGATTCCTGTAACCATGATCGTGGTGACTGCTTACGTTGATATAAGACCCAACCATGATATCCCTGAAACTTGTTCCTTTCCTGTTATTTGTACAATACCGTTGCTGTACGACACGTCTGAAACTGCAGAGATAGCCTAGTGTTTCCATGGAACTCACACCGGTCATGTTATCACTAATGCTGCAACATGCTTCCAAACCACGAGACATATCCAACCTGTAGTACCCCTGGAACTCAGATTATTACGCATATTGCTACCGGCATGTATGTATTTGTGGCGGCAGGGATGTCAGCAAGGGCTTTGCAAGGTTGCTTCGCTTGTTTGCCAAGCTGACAGGTGGTTGTTGGTGCTATGGCAAGCATGTACATAGGTCGGTCCGTTGCAGGCTCGCGCCGGCTGCCAGCAGGTGAAGGTTTTTTTTTTCGACACGAGCAGGGGAATAATAAGGCGGCGTGCTACTGCCGTGGCGCTGGCTATGTATTTATTCTTGCGCACACTTATCTCCCAAAATTAAGGCGAACCTGCTTGTGTACACAATTTTTTTCCCGGATTGCGTCATTGCTTTCTCGGTGTAAAGGACTTGAACAAATGACAAATACACTTCCAGCTGGCGTACCTCAACCCTCAAGGGTGATTCTTATCCACCTGGATTCCTTTCCCGAAAAGCGTCACTTTTCAGGATGGGCAGAAACCCGGATTTTTACACAGCCAAATTCTTCAGTTTTTGGGTCGACAAAATCCGGGTTCAGCTTTATGAGTTTGGCCTCCACCCGAAAAGTTTGGCAAAATCAGGTTGGTGCCCAGCCGGATTTCTTATCCCAAAAGTTCACCGCTGGATGAACCCAGACGAGATAATCGGCGAGTGCAACCTGAGTTCTTGACGTATCGCTCCCATCAAGGGCTCCGAGCAACCCTACGTTGAAGGGCTTGCTATTCAGCACGCTGGCTGTTGATGTTCGCTCGGCACGCGTGCGTAAAAAAAAACATGCCGCATCGCACCAAGCATTGGAGATGCCGAAACAGGCCAAACCGCCACGAGACAGCCGCTTGTTGTCAGAGAGGGGAGTACACCGCGACTGATTTATCGCTCCCTCGACCACCGATCGAAGCCAGACCGGTCAGGGCGTGCTCTCTGTTCCTTGCTCTCTGCCGGAGTAGACTTGCTCAGCAGCTCGTTGATCAATCAATCGAAATCGTCGTCTGCGTGTACACAAGCTGTCTGTTGAAAATTGTTTCTAGGCCCTCAAGACATTAGTCTATTCTCAAGTGGAACAGACTGGAAAAAAATCACAGTTCAAAAAAGCAACGGGCACCACGCGCATGCTTCTCTCCGTCGATCGAGAGTATGCGCTGCCGAGAAATCTACTCCGGCAGAGAGCAAGGAACAGAGAGCACGCCCTGACCGGTCTGGCTTCGATCGGTGGCCGAGGGAGCCTGACAAAAAGCGGCTCTTTTTGCTCTCGTGGCGGATTGGCCTGTTGCGGCGTCTCCCATGCTTGGTGCGATGCGGCATGTTTGTTTTTACGCACGCGTGCCGAGCGAACATCAACAGCCAGCGTGCTGAATAGCAAGCCCTTCAGCGTAGGGTTGCTCGGAGCCCTTGATGGGAGCGATACGTCAAGAATTCAGGTTGCGCTCGATGATAATGTCGTCTGTGTTGATCTACACCCACCTCCCAAGCATCTCAGGGAGTCCAGCTCACTGTAAGAAAGCCCGGTTTTTCCAGCGGATTTTTGCCCATCCTGAAAAGTGATGTTTTTTGGGAAAGGAAATCAAGTGTGTAGGAAACATCCTCACAGCTGAAAAAGAAATCAACACATGCCTCCGAAAGGATGAATACAACGCTGTGGATTCATCTACCGGGACGCTTATCGGTGGCAGAGGTGAATGAATGTATTGTGTTGTGTGGACTGGTATGACAAAAAAGTTGTGTTCTTTGTATCAATAATAAAAAATAAGGTGTTTGTCTCGAGCAGAGTCTCTCTCTTGTCGTCGTGTAAGTTGAAATCAATACACGTTGTGTTGCCACTAGAATACAGGTCGGCTACGTTGGACTTGTGAGTGGCATGCTGAACTTGTGGCTTTGAGCCTCATATCCGTGGGCGTAACTTTTCTGTCTCCCTGTGGCCCATGTTCGTTGTACAAGAAGGAGAGGGAAGTGTACGAGACTGAGCTGGGAAAAATAGATGGAACGTACAGGGAGATGTTTGAGGCATGGAATAGAGAGGAAAGGACGGTAGCTTGTACTGGGGCATAGGAGGTGGTTTGAAAAGACGGGAAGGGATATCGTTAGGGTAGACAGACTAGGGAAGACATTTTTGAGCCACCTTTGGCAAAGTAGAAAGGAACGATTGGCCATCAGTGATCGGTCCTGTGGGAACAATGCTTCGTCTTCTCGAGGACGCGTAGTCAATGGTCTAACCGCTAAG